TCAGGCTTTTGTTATTGGATGCTATCAAGTCATTTCTGTTTCAGAGAGACACTATATACAACAGCGTGCAACACCCCCAGCCCTGATTCAGCCTCACAGTGTTCTCTTGTTTGAGCCCATGGTTACAACTCCTGTGTCAATACATCTCATTAACAGTCTTTTTTTCACTAACCTTCTGCTTTACCAAGGACTGCACCTCCTGATAACATGCCCCAAACACATGAGACAATATCATACCATCTTCACTTTGAAGAAGCCTTTCAGCTCCAGATCTTCCAAGATTCATTTGTATGGTGATTCATGGTATATTAATTATTCATCACCAACCCAATTCAAAAGCATTGTCTTTTTCAATTTTCTTATTCATTGTCCAACTTTCACATGTATATTAGGTGATTGTAAAATACCATGATTTGGGTCAGTCCTCACAGTGACATCCTTACTCTTTAGTTCATTAACAAGGTCTTTAACAGCAGGTTTGTACAGAACACTATAATGTTTGATTTTTTTTTAACTGATCATACACTTGTTGCTTGTGTATCCAAATGAAATGAAATCCTCAACAACTTCAATCTCTTCTGTTTATCAGAATGTTGTTTCTTGGTTTACTGTTAAGGATTTTTCTTCTTGTTGGGATGTACTATACTGAAAACTGTACTGTTTGGTCTCCTTCACTATATGTTTTAAGTCTTCTTGGTTTTCACTGAGTAAGGTCGTATTATCTGCTTATATCACAGGTTGTCAATGAATCGTCTAATCCTGATACCACATTCTTCTTTATCTATGCCAGGTTCTTGAATTATTTGCTCATTTCACAAATACAATAAATATGAAAGGATACAATCTTGTTCACATTTCCTGATTTCACACCACTTGGTGTTACTTATTTTACTTGAAAAATTGTTTCTTGGTCTATGTAAAGGTTCCTTTGAACACAATTAACTGCTCTAGAATTCTTTCTTCACAATGTTATCTGTAATTTATTATCATCTACATGGTCAAATGACTTCCCATCGTCAATAAAACTAAAGTATACAGCATTTTTATTAGTCTCTGGTTCCAGTCAAGATTTATCTGACATTAGCAATGATACCCCTTATTCCATCAGATTACTGTTTCAGTCATTTCTAAATAATCTTCAGCAAGATCATACTTGCATGTGACCTTAATGGTATCATTTAATAATTTCTGTATTCTATGGGTTCACTGTTTTGGAAATGAGAACAAGGATGTATTTCTCTAGTCAGTTGGCCAACTAGTTGTATTCCAATTTCTTGGCATAGAGTAATAAGCAAATCCAGGGCTACATCTGTTTGTTGAAACATATCAATTGATATTCCATCAATACCTGGGGCCTTCCTTCGCAACATTGATAATATACTATTTCCTGAAATGGTTCAGTGTTGACCAATTTTTTTTGGTACACTGTGTATTCCTTCCATTTATATTGATGCTTCCTGCATAGTTCAAGATTTTGTTCATGGACTCTCAGTCTTGCAAGTCCAAACTTTCATTTGTTCTTCAGTTCTCTCAGCTTGAGGAATACTGAGCTTGTTCTTCCTTTTTGGTTTCCCGACTCCAGCTCTTTGTCCATTTAATTACAATATGTTGCCTTGTTTTTTCATGCTGCCCTTTGAAATCTTCTGATCACCTCACTTCCTTCAGCATTTCTTTGCTTTGCTTTGGCCTCTCCACATTCTATTGCAAATTTCAAGGTCTCTTCTGGCATCTATTTTAGCCTTTTTTTTCATTGTCTTTGCAGTGACTGTTTCCTCATGGATGATGACACTGATGTTGTCCCACAGATTATCTGATCTCCAGTTATTAGTGTTATCAAGACATCAAATCAATTCTTGAGACTTTTTAAATTTAATTGATATAGACCTAAGGTGATATTTTTATTCTCCTGGACTTGTTTTTATTTTCTTTGGCTTTAATTTTAATTTTCAAATGAGTCATTGATGGTTAGCTCCACAGTCAGCCCTTGGCATTGTTTTAACTGCAGTACTTTATCTTCTCCATCGACTCTTTCCAAAGATGTAGTCAGTCTGATCCCCGTGTAGTTTATAGGATAAGTTCCATGTATATAGTTGACATCTTTGTTATTTAAAAAGGTATTTGCAAAAAATAAATCATTGATTTTATGAAATTCTATTATCCAATCTCCAGGCTTGTTTCTGAGTTGTTATTGTTGTTGTGTGCTGTTGAGTTGCTTGCGACTCATAGCAACCCTATGTACAACAGCCCTAAACTCTGCTCTGTCCTGTGTCAATCCTTCCCGATTACCCCAGTCACTGAATCAATCCACCTCATAGAGGGTCTTCCCCTCCTGCGCTGTCCCTCCACCCTCCCAAGCATGATGTCCGTCTCCGAGGATCTGTCCCTCCTTACAATATGTCCAAAATATGTCAAACGAAGCCTCAGAATCCTTGCCTCTAAGAACAACCCAGTTCAACCCTCTCCAGGATGAATCTGTTTGTTTTCTTATCGTATTTGTTTATTTTGTAATTATCATGTCACTCAGTGATTCCACTTCTGGTTATGAATATTATATAATTAAGACAAATGCTTGTACATCAGTGTTCATGGCAGCATTGTTCACAATATCCAAAAGGTAGAGATAACCCAGGGTCATTCTATAAATGAATGGATAAACAAAATGTGGTCTATCCATATAATAGAATACTATTCAGTGACAAAGAGAAATAAAATTATGATACATACTACAATATAGATGAGCACTGAAGACATTATGCTGAGAAATATTGTGTGTGCCATTGAGTCAGAAGTGACTTACAGCTGACCCTCCAGTGGGTTTTCAGAGACAGTAAATTGCATCGAGGGAGCTTGCCCATCCTTCTCCAGTGGAGCAGCGGATGGATTCGAACCACATGCCTTTGGGATTGCAGCCAGCTTCTTACCAATAAAAGAACATACTCGCGGCTCCCTGGTCCATTGGCACAATGGTTGCTGTTAAGTCAATTCTGCTTCATAGTAGCCCTGTCGTACAAAGCTGAACTGCCCTGTGAAATGTCCAAGGCGGTGAATCATTATGGAAGCAAACTGCCACATCTTTTTCCACAGACTAGCTGGTGGGTTCAAACAACCAACCTTTCCATTAGTAGCTGGGTGGGGGGTATTAACTTGATGTGTGCCGTCGAAGCATATCCAACTAGTACAGGAGGAGATTGCCCCTCTTTCTCCAGCAAAGTATCTGGTGGATTCAAACCGTGCACCTTCAGGATTGCAGCACAACTTCTTGCCACTAGGCCACCAGAGCTCCCCAGTAGCTGAGTGTTTTAACCTCTGTGCATTCAGGTTTCTTTTGAATGAGCCCACTTATATGCAATACAATATCTAGTCTAAGTAAATGTAAATATATAATAGTAGATTAATGGTTACAAGGGGATTGATTGAGGGTGAAGAAAGTAAACTGATACTTAAGTAATGAATTTCAGTTTAAAGAGATGAAAAATTTTGGAAATAGTGATGATAGTTGCACAAAATTGTAAATGTTAAGTCAGGAAAATGTAGCTTAAAAATTTACAATACATGTTAAGTTCACAGTAGCTAAAAGTGTACATTTTAAAGTGGTTCCAATTGCAAAGGGAGCTCTGGTGGCCTAGTGGTAAGACGCTGCACTGCAATCCTGAAGGCACGCAGTTCAAGGCCACCGGCTGCTCCGTGGGAGAGGGATGGGCATTCTCCTCCCATGTGACTGTCTCTGAAAACCCACTGTGTGGTTCACTTCTGACTCAGCAGTCCACAACAAAAACAACATACATAAATTGAGTCTATTGTTTTCCTAACTCTGGAGAAAGAACATATATTTGGCAACACTTGTTCACTCAAAAAATATTTACTGTCTTCTATGTGCCAAGGACTTAATTTATTTAATGTATTTAATATGCAGCATAACCAAGTCCACACAGCTCCTGTGTTCATATAGTTTACAGAACACGAAAGGATTCCTTTTTTAATAGCAGTCACACAAATGAACTGAATTATGAATGCAAAGATAGCTAGAAAGGAAGTTTAGCACTTTCTTAAAGAGATTGAACACAAAAACCAAATTTATACCATTCAATCAAGGGACAACTTCTCTGGGAAAGTGGAACTCTTAAACTGAGGAGATAGCCCGGTGAAGGTAGGCTGGGGAGATACCAGTAGGTCTGGAGTGGTCCTGAGTATAATGAAACAGAGGCTCTGGATTAAAGTAGGAGTTCACTGCATCCGCGCTTATTATTCTGGAAAATCACTTCAGGTGCGGAAAAGAAAGGATGGAGGTGGTTCTGCAAGAATAATGATGAGTAAATGAAATGCTACATCTGAGGGACCATTCAAAGGCTTGAGTCAGCAGAGCCTGGCCTTCTGCCCAGACGCGGGGTAGGACAGTCTCTCCTCTGCGGAGAGTTATGAGTCAGACACCCACAGACCAGTGAATGAGTGAGCGTGGCATTTCCCATAGCCTCAGGTTTCTGCCTTCCAGACTCCCTTGGGCAAGGCTAAGCCCTGTTCCCCTCTTCACTCCACCTGTCTCTGGATGCCAGTGGCTCTCTGACTTTGCACCCCCCACTGCTGATGTCTCATTTTATGTCATGTGTTGCCTTGAGCCAAAAGAAACCTAGAACTATAGTTTCTAAGATTTCAAAATCCAGAGAAGATGATGAAAACATAGTAATTGCCTTGGAAATGGTAATAGTTCATAGGTGTAGCGTATACTTGGGGAAAGTTCTAATCAACTTGATTTGATGCTAATCCCAGGCGATTGCTCTATGAACTCCTTGGCAACTTTCTACAAATCTCTCTTGCATTTGCCTAACAAGTTAATTAACACTTCCTGTCACTCTGGCAGCTTTGGAGGGAATGGGAGGGGGATGTGCCAGCCTGCGGGGCCCAAGGTTAACCCTGCACTCACCCGACCTGGGGAGAAAGGCCGCTGAGAGGAGGATCATCAAGTCAGAGGGCTTGACACTGTGCTTCTCTGATTCCACCTGCAGCTGGGGCACCCAGGGCGACTTCTCCACGACCCACGCGCTGCCTGCTGTGAAGGTGAAGCTGTTCACCGAAAGCACCGGAGTCCTGGCCTTGGAGGACAAGGAGCTTGGACGGGTAAGCTCTTCCTATCCAAAAAGAATTCAAGCAAGGTCTCCAAGGAGGGTGTCCCCCAGTAAGCTGAGCGGTGAGACTGTCCTCACTGCATGGGTCATCATAAGGCAGAATGCCAACTGCTGAAAAGTCATGCTGTGAGCGTCCATTGTAGGCTCCACTCCTTGGTGGCTGTGTGACTTAGGCAGGGCCCTCAACCTCTGCAGACCTCATCTTCGCCTCTATAGACCTGCCTAAGGGTGGTGTATCCTGCAGAAGTCAAAGCCGGGCTCCAAATGAGAGAACTGTCAGATCCACACACACTTCCAGAGCAAATATTTGTAATGCTTCTTTAGCAAACCTGTTCACCTAATAATTTTTACAGTCAGCAGAATGTCATGACCCAAAGAAAAACACCTGTCACTGAGTCAAGTTTAACTCATGACAACCCCATGTATGCCAGAGTAGAACTCTGTTCCTCCTGATTTTCTACTTTTTAAAAAAGTAGATTATTTTTTAAAAAGTAGTGCCACTTCCCCTTTTGTCATTCAGGATGCCTTTGAAGGGACTTGAACCTACAGCCTTTCACTTAAAAGTTGAGCATCTGAACCATTTATCACCCAGGACTCTTTCATAATATAACCTGTAGCCATCAACTCAATTACAGTTTCAAAGACTGTAAGTTTTTACAGGAAGAGGCTACCTATCTTTCTCCCTTGGAGCAGCTGATGGATTTGAACCGCTGACCTTTCAGTTAGCTGAGCAACATGCACACACTACAGTACCAGAGGTCCCAGTCTTAATATAAAACTCAAAAAGTCACTGCCATCAAGTTGGTTCTGACTTAAAGCAACCCTCAGCTGGGTTTCTGAGACTGTAAATCATACAGAGAGAGAGACTGCCCAGCTTTCTCCCTCAAAATTGATTCAAGCCAGCAGAAAGCCTGTGGCCTCTGGGGCAGCAGCACAACCAGAGCTCCCTAATCATAATATAAAAGAGAATGTAGGGAGAAACAATTGCTAATAAAATAATCATTATGTGAGTAGGCATGCAGGAATAACTGCACTTGGTGTTTGTATGAGCTGTCAAGTCAGAGCTCTCCCATGGGTTCTCAGAGGCTATAAATCACACGGGAGGAGTTTGCCATGTTTCTCCTGTGGAGCAGGTGGTTGATTTGAATCGCCTGCCTTTGGTTGGCAGCACAACTCTTTATCCAGTAGGTCATCAGAGCTCCTTATGACTACATTAGAAGATCTAAAGAAGTAGTGTGTGACTTACATCCATGTGTCCACTCACTGTGAATGAAAAACCGACAATACACTGAGTGGAGGAATCAAAAGCCTCAGTATCAATACGGTGATTTTCCAAAATGGTAAACAACGCTTGAGAAGATCGCCTTGATTTCTCTGTACAAGTACCAAAGATATTTAGTGTTAATGTGTAAAATAGAGTTATAATTTAGAATAAGTTAATTATAAATTATAAAGGTGTTTCCCCTCCAATACTGCATGGTAGGAATATTCAAAAGCCAGCTGAGATCCCAGATGACTCCACTTCCTAGAAGATTAGCTCACACAAAACAGAATGTCCAGCATCCCGGACCCTTTATGATTAAATGTTAGTTGGGCCCAGTCCCACTTATTCTATCTAACAAAAATATACCCAGCATTTCTGAAATATCTCTGAGCAGTGATAATCACCAGTCCCCCCCACTGGTAACAATGAAAGTAATTGTGGTTGTTCTTGTTGTTGTTGTGTTGTTAAGTGCCGTCCAGTCGCAGGCGACTCATAGCGACCCTATGAAGGAGAGTCCTCAGCGCTTGGGTGCCTTTCATCCTCTCTCCAGGTTCATAGGGTTTCCAGAGGCAAGCTATTACGGAAGTGGATGCCACTCTTCCTTCCAAATGAAAGTAATTAAGAGACAATATTCCATCTTGCCCACATTATTATTGAACTGACTCATAGATTCTCACAGAATCCATCAACATTGCAACTGAAGGCTTGAATTTGTTCTTCAATTATTTCAGCTTGAAAAATGTGTTTCCCTTTTGTTTTTCTAACTCCAGCTCTTTATATCTTTTGTTACAACACTTGGCTTTGTATTGTCAAGCTGCCTTTGAAATCTTCTATTCCTCTTTCTTACTTCACCATTTCTTCCCTTTGTTTTGGCCTCTCTGTATTCTAGTGCAAGTCTCAGAGTCTTTTCTGTCATACATTTTGGCCTGTCTTTCTTGTCTTCATAATGAGTTTTTATTTACTTCAGGGATGATATCCTTGATGTCATCCCACATCATCTAGTCTTGAGTCATTAATGTTCAATGCATCATATATGTTGTTGAGATGTTTTTTTTACATCCAGTTGGTATAAACTCCAGGTCATATTTTGGTTCTCATGGACTTGTTTTCATTTTCTTCAGCTTCAGCTTGAACTTTCACTTGAGTAATTGATGGGTCTGTTTGATAGTCCATCAGTCAAAAGAAGATGGAAAAATAAACAGAGTCATTGTTCAAAAAAATTAATAAATACTGAACCATTACAGGAAGGAGCATATTATCAAGAACTGATAGTTCAAACGAAGAAGTTAAAGTTATACTGGAAATATTGGCAAAAAATAAGATCTCAGGAATTTATATAATGCCAACTGATACATTTTGACAAATAGATGCAGCCCTGAATGAGTTCTTTTTTGTACCAAGAAATTTGGAACATAGCTCTACCTAGCCAACTGACTAGGATAGATCTAGAATTGTTCTTATTTTCAAAATAATGTGATCCAGCAGAAGGTGGAAATCACACACAAGTAAACTCTAGCTGAAGATAATTTTAAAATGGCTAGGACAATATATTGACAGTGATAATCAGAAATTCAAGCTGGATTCAAAAAAGGTCATGGAATGGGGAATAGCAGTGCTGTTGTCAGATGGATCTTGGCTGAAAGTAAAGAATACCAGAAAGATGTTGACTTGGGTTTCATTGACTTTGCAAAGGTGTTTGACTGTGTGGATCATGATAAATGTGTGGCTAACATTGAGAAGAATGGGAATCCCGGGGTACTTAATTGTGCTTATCCAAAACTAACAGCAGGACCAAGAAGTAGTTGTCAGAACAGAACAAAGAAACACTGCTTGGTTTAAAATAAGGAAAGGTGACTGTCTGGGTTGTATCCTTTCTCCACATCTGTTCAGTCTGTTTTCTGAGCAAATCATTTGAAAAGCTATATTATGTGAAGAAGAATGTGGCATTAGTATTGGAAGAATATTCATCATCAACCTGCTTTATGCAATAAACAACCATGTTTGCAGAAAGTGAGGAAGACTTGAATCACTTATTATAGAAGATCAAAAGATCAATACAGCCTTCAAAATGGATTACCTATCAAGAAAACAAAATCATCTTTGGATTAATAGACAACATCATGCTAGATGGAGAAAAGACTAAAGTTGCTAATAATTTCCTTTTACTTGGATCCACAATCAACACCCATGGTAACAGCAGTCAAGAAACCAAAAAGATGTTGCATTGGGAAGATCTTCTGTCAAGGACCTCTTGAAAATGCTAAAGAGCAAGAATATCAGTTTAAAGAATAAAGTGTCCCTATTTCAAGCTATGAAATTTTTATTTACTTCGTATGCATCTGGAATTTATACAATGAATAAAGACCAAAGAAGAACTGATGTTTTGTTTGTTTGTTTTTTAATTCTGGTGTGGGCAAAAAGTATGGAATGGACTGCCAAAAACAACAAATCAATCTGTCTTGGAGGAAATGCAACCAAGGTGCTTCTTAGAGGCAAGGATGGGGAAACTTCATCTCACATATTTTGGACAGGATATTAAGAGGGACCAAACCCTGGGAAAAGACATCATTCTGGGAAGGGTGGCGATCAGGGAAAGTACAATACCCGTCAGGGAGAAGGACTGACACAGTGGCTGTGATAATGGGCTCACACATGAGGATCATGAGGTTTGCCCATCGTGGGGCCAGTCTCGACTCTGTGGTTCATAGAGTTGCGCTGAGCTGTCACCTAACAACAACGTTTTTCTTGCCTCTCAGCAATGTACTATCAACCAGGCAGTCAGACAGTTGAGATATGCTTCTTGCTTACTTAAAAAGATTTCATGACCCCCCCATCTCCTAAAAAAAAATATAAATATTTTTAAATTGCATGATCTAGCCTCTGCTTTCCTCTTAAGCCTTATCAGCTACCATATTACCTCCTTGTCCACCATATCCCATCATAATTGGCTAGATTTTCATTCCTCCAGTAAACCAAATCACTCCTATCAGAAAAGCCTCCTCTCTGCCTAGAATATTCTCCTTCTCAGTTTATCAAAATCCTACTTCCTTCTCTTTCTCATCCTGGGTCCTCCTTGGAGATTCATTTTCTGTTTCAAATTCTCTTCCACTTCTCCACGTTCTCAAACAAACTTAGCATCAATGAGTAAGAGAGAAATGGAATTTATGGAAATTTTGGATTCCATCTCCCTGGTTGGTCTATAAATTCTTCATAAGACTAGAAATCTATTTTGTTCACCAGTCTACACCCAAAACCCAACACATGAATGTTTACTAAACTTTCTATATTGCTGGTTGAATCCATCCTCCCTTCTAAAGACAGAGTGATCTTGACCAAGTCCTTTAACTCCCTTAAGCCTCTGATGTATATACATAGAATGAAGACCCCTCACCCCTTTGGCCGACCAGACAGACACATAACAACAGGAAGAACACATTCCTCATGATTTCTTTTTCTTCCCTTTTCATTTTCAATTCCATTATTTCAATTATAATCTATAAAACTAACGCAGGATCGTCTTATGAAGACAGAGACCACAGATGGAAGTAACTCAAAAAGTAAACAAGGCTAACAGCAAAAGCAATGCCTTCCCTTTAGACCCTGAAGGAGAAATAAAAAGGATAAAAGGTTTAGCTGTTTGCTTTGAAAAATGGCAAGTGTTCATTGCAATGCCTAGAAAAAGAGAGACACATAGACTCATTGCAATCAAGCCATGTCCAGCTGATGAC